GAGGTCCTGTGTGTGCAGCCGGTGTAGGTGAGGGGTCCTGTGTGTGAACTCGCAGGAGGGGAGTCACAGCCTCAGGAGACGCCGTCTGGATGCGGGCAGGCTGTGCTGCGCCAGGAACCTGGGGGGCCTGAGGGGTCCTGTGTGGCATCGGTGTGTCTCTGCTCCTCTGTGAACTCCGAAGGGCGGCTTCGTCTCCGCCCGCCTTTGCTTTCTCTGTTTCCTCATTATTTCCTGGTGGTTTTCAGCCGCCGGTGAAACTTCGGTTTTGAACCTGTAGGATTTGCCCCAGCCTCCTGGGGGATGCCCCTCTGTGGAGGTGAGGTCCCCTGTCTGCAATCACGTTCTTTCCCGTATTTTATTACCCGTTTATAGAGTGAGCACGTTCTTTCCCGTATTTTATTACCCGTTTATAGAGTGAGCACCGTTAGAACCAGCGGACAGGGTTTGGAGTCGTGTTTCTCAGGATATTCCGGAGGCGCTCCTGCTCCATTCATCTCAGGACTTGGAGTATTTTCCCCAGCGGCTCATGGTAGACCAGCTGGATTCACAGGCAGTCGGAACTGCGAGAATGCATGTGCTGGTGGCCGTGGTCTGTGCACAGCGTTTCCAGAGTGCTGGGTGACGCGGCCCCTGCGCCTCGAGGGTTACACTGCATCGGGAGATCGGGCAGCCCCAGGGAGGCCGGGCCCGGATGACCTTCTGGCTGACCTGGCTCCAAGGCCAGGTCTCCTCCTAGATGTTTAGGGATCACTTGGGTCTCGGGACGCGTGAGTCTCTGGCGTGATGTGGCAGCATCTCCTCCGTGGCCCGTTGCTAACAGCCTTTGCACCAAGCACGAGAGGAGAGTCATTTGCACCAGGAGCGTGTAACTGGGGCACTGTTGCGTTCTGGGTGGACGGCCCTGTGCCGTGGGCACTATTGGTGTTTGGGTGGACGGCCCCGTGCCGTGGGGAACTGTTGTGTTCTGGGTGACGGCCCCGTGCCGTGGGGAGCTGTTGGTGTTTGGGTGGACG